GCAGGAAGTCTTGTACTTGAGGATATAAGCAGGAAGTTTTGAATTTGTGGGATTTAAGCAAGGAAGTCTTAAATTGTGAGTCTAAGTAGGAATTCTTAGGATCTGATGATCTAAGTAGGAAGTCTCGATCAGGTACTGATTAAGCAAGCAAGTCTTGGGCTGTAGGTCAAAGCAAGGAAGTATTGAATCTGAGGGGGTTTAAGCAAGGAAGTCTTGGATTCATGGAATCTAAGCAAGCAAGTCTTAGGTTGTAGGTCTGATGCTGTATTTTTGCAAGTATACGAATAACGTCAGAATAATATAAAAGATTATCGATCCCACAGAGACCAAACGTCAATCTATAGATTACTATTGTTACGATGTTTATCTAAGGCAAACCAATCGGGAGTTCGTGCGTGCAAAGTAAAAGTAAAGTACGAAAATAAAATTCAAATTAAAACAACAGGCTTGAATGTAATTTACATAGCCGGGTAGTATTCCAAATATGTGTAAATAGAACTTCTAATGGGGTAATATTTTCTATTTATGAAAAGAACTAATTTAACAGGAACTGTCGCTTTCACGTATTCAGAACCGAGTTTATCCTTTAATCGAACCCTCTTATTGTCACTTATAAAAAGGTGCGCATTGCGTTAAAGTAATAAACATATTTTTAAGAAATATAGTTTCTTGACTCAGTTGAAAAGTATTTTGACCTGGAACTAGTAACAAAAAGAGGTTCATGCGAATCAGAATTTAAACCCATAAACGTGTCCGAAAATAGTATTAAAATCGTTTTTTTAAGGTATTAAAAACTCTTACTTAACTGGACAAAGCGCTTTTGCTTCCTTTGAACAGTTAAGACTAACCAAGTTAAGACTAAGTGCAGAAAACTTGTGTTAAAAATCAGAATAACCCTTAAGTGTTTCTATTGACAGCTTGTATGGAATACCACTTTCACTATGATCCTTACATTCTAAGCTTTAAAATTTAGCCAGACATGGAAATGTAAATAGACATGTTAAATAAGGCGAGAAAGTTAAATAGTGCAAGAAAGTAAAAGGTGCGAGAAAATAAATAATGAGGGAAGGTAATGCGGGAAATAAACAGTGCGGGAAATAAATGGAAAGTAAATAGAAACCTGCTCCAAATGAGAGGTTTTAAATCTGGTACAACTGGAAATAAAAGACTGGAAAGAAAATGGCGGCAGGATTAACTTCTACCATAGTGCTCCATACCCGATTACAGACTCGATCAGACAATGCGATAACTTCTCGATGTGAGAAGTTTATCACTTTACAACAACGAAAATATATGGCTTGAGTTCTGTAACTAAGCTTGGATGATTAGAAATGAAGAAGAACTCATCTATTTATAGCCTAGGAAAAGTATATGGAAAGACTAAAGTGCCCCTAACTTCTTTTGGGAGGGAAAGCATAATACAAGGGTGGCGCCCACCATACCCTCATGGCGCCCACCATTTAAACCAGAGGAGAAAGAAATGGGGGTCGTGGCAGTTGACAGCAGTTGGACTCTTATCCAAGTCATGGTCTACCCTATGGCGCCCGCCATGGTGGGTGTCATGTGTACAATTTCCTCAAAAACTGGTCTTTCTTGCCCATTTTTCTTCATTTCTTCTCGAGGAGCTCTGGAAATACAAAATCCTGAAAATGAAACAAAACAAAAGCATAACACAAGAAAACAACAATAAAATTCTAAGAAACATGTGCAATTCGAGTCAAATACATAGTATGATTTAATGTTATCAAGGTCTGAGAAAAGGAAAGTCTTATGCTCGAGGACATAAGCAATTGTAATCATTTTTTATTATAGTGTAAAATCTCTTATGCTGTAAGGGGATTGGACTATTCTCGGTTTGAGATGAACCAGGATAAATTCTTTGTGTTCATTTGTCATTACTTGCTTATGTTTATTATTCTGCCGCATCCATATCATCAGAATCTAATTTGTTGTTTAGAAATTGAACTTTGTTCAGAAGCAACGCGAATTGAAGAGCACAATTCAACCCCCCTTCTTGTGTATTTTTATCATCTCCATAATGTTTTTCGAATTGCATGCATCTTATAACTCATGATTTCCTCATTAACCCATATAATTTGATTCAATCCTAAATTATACAAAGTAATGATGATGAATGAATGTCTTCTAAGTCTTTCACACAAAATTTAATTACCTATTTTTTTATAGTTTATTTTGAAAACATCAAATTTTGTGTGAAAGACTCATTCTGACATCTATTTATCATCATTATTTTGAAGTATTTGTGGCATTGTATCAAATTCTATAGGCTAAAGAGGAAATTATGAATTACAAGATCCATGCAATTCGATAACTGTTGGATCGTCTAAGTTGATTGTTAAGAATAATTTAATTTTTATAATTATCATCTCAAAAATCTATTTAAATGAACGCAAGTTCAATGAGGTGTTAGTGAAATAAGCAATCACATATGATATAACAAACTCACTAACAACATTTATCAACAAAAATATCAATTAATTAACATAGATTGCGAGAACTTAATAACTAACCATCCCTGGAAGCTATGAAGAGGATAAAGTAGAAGGGATAGTAGAAAACGCGTGTTCACTATGGGAATATTATATGAAAGACTCATATAATATTTTCACAACGAACACAAGTTCACAACTCTCTTAGATCAATATTCACATAACCAGTTGTATCAGTGATAAGTAAAGAATTATAACCACTTGCTAGCTACACATGAAAAACCATTTATTAACAAACAACACAAGAAACATCAACAACATCCAACAACATTTATAAACAACATACAATCCTTTAATTAAAAAAATTATGGAAAATTAAGACAAACCATCATGTGAACCACACACATAGTATGTAAACTTGTAAAATGAGAGGAGGATGAAACTGAGGAGAAAGTTGCAAACTTGTGTTAAATTTTAAAGGATGTCATTCTACATATATCACACGAGTTTGCATCTTTCACTTTAGCTTCATCCTCAACTAACATTTATCTACATTTATCAATTAATAATAACAAAACATGTGAAACCGAAGTAAATAATATGAAAAACATGTCAACTAACATTTATCTACATTTATCAATAACAACAACATACAACAATAGAAAAAAACCCATAAAATCTCAAATAAGAAGAAAATCATGTGAAATATAACAAGGTCTTCAATCTTCATGCTTAGTTGAATTCGTGTAGTTCTAAAGGTCTTCATCTGGTTCAAAATCAGTTGCATCCAAATTCATTAGGTCCTTCACAGTAGTTTATACCTTTCTTATCTTTTCAGGGTTAAGATTCTTGATAAGAATCTTCTTATAGTCTGTTCCACTAGACGGTTCAATAACATTAATGTGATCCCTAACAACTTCAACTTCTTTGGCTTTGCTCAACCATAACTCCAGCATATCAATAATCTCTTTTGAAGCCTCAATATCTTGGGAAAGTTTTCTCCAACTATTTGTATTAAGAGAAGGATCTAAATACTGAGAGAAGGATCTGAAATCTGAGTATATGATATGTCTAAATGGTGTCAAAGTGATCGTAGGTAAGAGAAACCCTTTTCCAAAACCTAAACCTAAAGCATATCCAACAAACAACAAAACATGTTAAACTGAAGTAAATAATATGAAAATCATGTGGAAATAATGTGAAACACACAACAACATACAAAAAAAACCCATAAACTCTCGAATAAGAAGAAAATCATGTAAAACATAACAACAACATACATGAAAATGAGAGGATGAGAAAGAATAAGAATACATTTATTTATGAAGAACAAGATTGAGGCTATACCATATAATAGGAAAGCTAATGGCGAAGACGAAGAGAGAAAATTTGTGATAGGGTTTTGCTGTGAGAGATACGACAATAATGTCAAGAGGCCATATCTAATTTGCTTATATATGGGTAAACAATTTCACCACGGTCGTATTCAAAAACTGTGATAAAATGCAATGCATTTCACAACGATTGACATTAATAATCGTGGTGATATGTATTTGAATTATATATATATATATATATATATATATATATATATATATATATATATATATATATATATATATATATATATATATATATATATATATATATATATATATTATAAAGACAACATTCGTTATAACAAAAAGTAGAACATTATTGGAGCTGAGATTCGAACCCTATCACTTTATAAATGTATAATTACGGTTAACTGATTTGACTGTAATGCAATGTCTTTTCGTAAATATTAAAAAACAAAACGGCCTGAATACCCAGGATAAGTCAGCCTTTTTCTCGAAAAAGCACAAGACTGATGAAGTTTCGAATGCAAGGAAAATGTTGGAATTATATGGAAGAGGATTATATATATATATTATAAAGACAACATTCGTTATAACAAAAAGTAGAACATTATTGGAGCTGAGATTCGAACCCTATCACTTTATAAATGTATAATTACGGTTAACTGATTTGACTGTAATGCAATGTCTTTTCGTAAATATTAAAAAACAAAACGGCCTGAATACCCAGGATAAGTCAGCCTTTTTCTCGAAAAAGCACAAGACTGATGAAGTTTCGAATGCAAGGAAAATGTTGGAATTATATGGAAGAGGATTTCAGAATTTTGGAGTGAATGATGAATAGCCCGATTGTGCCTAAGTGCTCAAGTGCTGTCTACAAGACGCCACTAGCGCCTCTACGCCCACGGATCCGGTTCCGGCGAGGGGTGTTTTGTATGAGACAAGTGACATAAGTTTTGGCACCACCACATGTGACTATGTGGCACTTTATCCTTTTTGGCTCTTTTGGAAATTACATTGTTCCAAGTGCCTTATAAATGCTATTTAATTTTACTCCTCTTCCAATGTGGGACTAAGCATTTATTATAACACCCACTTTGTCATTTTAGAACAACTTTAATGGAAATAAATTATTATTTCCAACATTTTGTTCAAAGTAGATTTTTCTCAGGCGTATGATTGTGTTGAGTGGGTATTCCTTGAGAAAATCATGTCAGCTATGAATTTCAGGGATAAATGGATGTCTTGGCTTAAGGGTGGTGTGCTTAATAACTTCATTTTTATTTTAGTCAACGGTAGTGCGCCTAAAGAGTTTAAGGCCACTAGGAGTCTTCTACAGGGGGATCCATTATCTCCATTTATTTTCTCCGTAGTAGCGGAAGGACCTGTGTTGTTGGTTAGAAGACTGGCAAGAAAAAAGATTTTCAGTGGCTTTCATTTATATGGTGATGAAGCGATTAGCCTTGTGCAATTCGCAGATGAATCAGTATTAATTTGTGATGATTCATGGAAGAATCTATGAGGGATTATAGCTATACTTAGAGGATTTGAACTAATTTTCAGGTTACGGATTAATTTAGTGAAAAGTCGTTTCTTTGGAGTGGGAGCTGAGGATTCGTATATGCAAGTTGCAACTATGTTTTTGGCTGGTAAAACTGGAAGTTTCCCTTTTAAGTTCCTTGGTCTTATGGTGGGTGGGAACCATAGGAGGTTGGTGTTTTGGAAGCCGGAAGTAGATGCATTCAAAGTTAGACTTTCTTCATGGAAAGGCAAATTGCTATCTTTTAGAGGTAAGGTGATTTTGATAAATTAAGTGCTTACGAATCTGCCCGTGCATCACCTGTTTCTTCAAGGCTCCTGTTAAAGTCATCAAAATGTTGGTGGCAATTCAGAGACGATTCCTCTGGGCTGGTTCTGCAGAAGCAGCCTCAATTGCGTGGGTTAGTTGGTCGACTGTTTGCAAATCAAAAAGTGATGGCAGTTTAGGCATTAAAAGCATTGCAGAGTTTATTTTGGCATTGGTTTCAAAGTGGCTTTGGAGGATCATTAGTGAATCAAGCCCTATTTGGATTTTTTTCTAGAATATAGGTATGGAAATATTGTTGAAAGAGTTTTGGTGAAATCTGGTCCTTTTTCTAGTAGGTTGTCATCCCTCTAGTGGAAGGATTTACTGTTGATTGGAGACTTTATGAATGCAGCAGGTTTTCATGGGTTGCTGTCATATAAATTGGGCGACGGTATTCTCATTTCGTTTTGGAATGCTAGATGGGTGGGCTGGTTCCCTTTAAGGGTTTAGTTTCCAATGCTTTTTAATTTATCTAATCTCAAATGCAACTCTGTTGCACAATGTGGAGTTTGGATGGATAATGGATGGTAGTGGAGGTTGGGGTTTGATGTTGAGAATATGGAGGATCAATCTATTTCTAACCTTAATGATCTTTTGGATATTCTTACAAATGTCAGCCCGAGGTAGGGGTGTTCAAATTATTTTGTTTGGCCAGATGCTCATCCAAACCAATTCTCGGTTAAGACTTGTTATGACGACATTATGCAAAGTCGTGGCGGATGTGATTTAGACATTTTTCTCAAGAGTGTTCTTGATTTATTGTGGCATTCTAATGTTCCAATGAAGGCTAAAGTATTTGGGTGGAGATTATTTTTGGATCGATTACGAATCTTGCGGCCAAGGGAATAATATCAAATTCACATGAATTGGTATGTGTTTGTTGTTTTAATGCAGTTGAATCTTGTAGTCACTTATTTTGTTCTTATCCTAGTGTGTCCGCTGTTTGGTTAGGTGTATTTGATTGGGTATGAATAGTTTGGGTTGATGGACACAGTTACTGCCAACATTTTTTTGAAGTGGTATTTGAAGATGGTGGGTAAGTGTTAGAAGAATTCAGCTTCTTTGATTTGGATTTCTACCTGCTGGTGTATTTGGTGGGCGAGAAATCAGATTTTATTTAATGATGTGTTTTGAAAATCAGAGGAGATTTTCCAAATGATTGTTTACTTTTCTTGGTGGTGGTTAACCCTGTCATCTAACTGTAGTTTTAAGTATAATTATTATGATTGGTGTAAAAAGTCCACTGATTTTCTGTAGATGGTTCTAATCGGTTTTTTGTGATCAACAGTGTGATTAATATTTTTTTGTCTGTGTCATATTGGATTTGAATACTCCTAGTATTCTCTTTTAATATATTTTTGCTTATAAAAAAATGATATATTTTATAGTAGTGTCTACAATATCAAAATAAACTTAAACTTGTATTTTGATTTTACTTTTTAAAATATAATTAATTGTGAAATATGCAAGACAAAAGTTATAATCAGCATGATAAAATAAATTTAATTAAATGCAATAATTGTTGCCCCCATTTTCACTATTTGAGTATAAAAGAAGTATATTTAAAATTTCTGAATTGATGGGATTCAGTTCCGTGAACGCAAACCTCACCTTACATAGAGTTGTTTATAGAAGAAAGTGTATTGGTGTCTATCTATTAATAAACCAGACACGAGCTAATTCAATTCATCGAAGCAAGTAGATTGTGCCTTTTCCTTGCTCACTCTACCTATAAAGAACTTCTGATCATACAACTGCTAGATGACAAACCGTGATATAGGAGAATATATAAGCTAAAAAAGAAACACTGTATTTCTAATATATCTATTACAATATATTAAATTAAAAAATACATATTATATTACGACACATCATATCAATCATACTATTTATATTGTCCGTGTCAAATGAAATAATATTTCTATATTGGTTTTATGTTAAATTAGAATGACATTTAATCAATAAAATTATTTTACACATTTCATTTTATTTATACTTTATTTTATGCTTTTCTTTAATATAATAATTTAACATAACACTATTAGAATATTAATAGTAATTCATATTTATTTAGTTGTACTATTTTCTTAACCCCTAAGTTTGTTAGAGGATATTTTAGTATTTTATCTTATTCTAGTAACCCTAGTTTTAGCTTATAAATAGGGTGACAATCATTGTGACTTTTAATCCTGTTTCTTCTGCCGTCATTCTTAATAGAATATTTCTACCTTTCATCATTTATTCTACCTTTGCACCAACAATTGGTATCTAGAGCTCCGGTTCAGATTCATTGGGAAACACGGGAAACACGAGTGAACGTGAGGTCTTGTGTGTTTGATTTTGTTTCTCAGATTCTTGTTGAATCTTGAACAAAATCTGATCAGAATTTTTTAATTCTGTGGGTTGGGAAACACTGTGTGAGAAAACTCTGAGTGTATTGTGCAAAGTAGAAGATGAACGGAAACGGCAACATGAACACCAAACTTCCAGTATTTGACGGTAAAAATTGGAATCGTTGGATGATCCAAATGCGTGTACTGTTTGGTGCTCAAGATGTTCTGGATCTTGTCACTGATGGTTATGTTCCAGTAGCAGCAGATGCGACTGATGAACAGAAAAACGCGCAGAAAGAAGTCAGGAAGAAGGATCAGAAAGCATTGTTCTTCATTCATCAATGTGTGGATGTAAACGTGTTTGAGAAGATTGCAGACTCTACAACAGCAAAGGCTGTATGGGACACTCTGGTGAGATGTTATGGTGGTGACGCATCAGTGAAGAAGGTGAAGCTTCAGTCCTTGAGAAAGCAATATGAGAATCTCAACATGAAGAATAATGAGAAAGTCTCTGAATACATCTCCAGAATGATTCTGATCACTAATGAGATGAAGGCGTGTGGAGAAACTCTTTCAGAAGAAACAATAATGGAGAAAGTATTGAGATCCCTTACTCCTCAATTTGATTACATTGTGGTAGCAATAGAACATTCCAAAGATCTGAGCACCATGAGAATTGAAGAGCTGCAGAGCAGTCTAGAAGCGCAAGAGTTGCGTTTGATTGAGAGAACTTCTGAAAAGGAAGTAGAGCAGCAGGCTCTGAAAGCAACTTCTGATAGGAGGTATCAGAAGCAGTCAGAAGCCAGAAGAAGATCTGATGGTGGTCAAAAGTCAGAAAGCTCAACCTCTGATAGACAAAAGAATGCTCAGAAGGGAAAAGAGAAGTATGACAAGAAGAAGATCCAATGTTACTGTTGTAAGAAGTTTGGTCACTTTGCTAGAGATTGTTGGTCAAACAAGGAGAGAAAATCAGAAGAAGCAAATATAGCCAGAAGTTCTGATGACGAATCTGTGCTATTGATGGCTTCTGAATCTGATAATATGGATCTGATAGACTGGTGGTATATGGACACTGGCTGTTCAAATCATCTTACTGGAAACAAGAAATGGCTGGTTGACTTTGACTCTGAAAAGAGAACAAAGATCAGATGTGCTGATGACAAATATCTTAATGCAGAAGGTATGGGAAATGTCAGAGTGATTCTGAACAATGGGAAAACAGCATTGATTCAGAACGTGTGGTATGTACCTGGCATCAGAAGCAATCTGATGAGTGTGGGACAATTAATTGAGAAAGGTTTTTCAGTTACCATGAAGGATAATCTTCTGAAGCTGTATGACTGCAATCAGAAGTTGATTATGGAGTCAGAACAGGGAAGGAATAGAACATTCAAGGTGAATGTCAGAACTGCAGACTCAGAATGTCTTAGTGCAACATGTGCTGAGAAGGAGAGTGAGCTGTGGCACAGAAGATTTGGTCATTTGAATTTCAGAAGCCTAAAACATCTGAATTCAAAGAAGCTGGTACATGGAATTCCTGCAATTAAGAAGCCTGAGAAGTCATGCAAAGTTTGCATGGAAGGAAAACAACCACGTTTGCCATTTGCGTCAGAAGTTGCTCCAAGAGCAAAACATGCCTTGGGAGTTGTACATTCCGATGTGTGTGGTCCATTTCCAGTAGCATCAATTGGAGGGAATAAGTACTTTGTGTTGTTTGTTGATGAATTCACAAGAATGACATGGGTATCCCTTATTAAATTTAAACATGAGGTGTTTGATGAATTCAAGAAGTTCAGAATGAAGGCTGAGAATCAGAGTGGTTAGAAGTTGAAGATTCTTAGAACTGATGGTGGAGGTGAGTATAACTCCAAAGAGTTCCAGAAGTTCTGTGAGGAGAATGGAATTGAGCATGAGGTAACTGCTCCTTATACCCCTCAACAAAATGGTCTTGCTGAAAGAAGAAACCGTACTTTGCTTGATATGGTAAGAAGCATGCTAAAGGAGAAGAAGCTTCCTCAGAAGCTCTAGGGAGAAGTTGTTGCCACTGCAACGTATGTACTCAACAGATGTCCTACGAAGAAGTTGAAGGAAATAGTTCCTATGCAGAAGTGGACTGGAGACAAGCAAAGTGTTAGTCATCTGAAGGTGTTTGGTTCTGTTTGCTATAAACATGTTCCAGAAGCCAGAAGACAGAAGCTGGATGATAGAAGCAAAGTGATGATTCTGATAGGGTACCACAGTACAGGTGCATACAAGCTCTATTGTCCAGAAACCAATAAAATTGAATTCAGCAGGGATGTGATTGTGAAGGAATCAGAAGTTTGGAATTGGGATAAGTCTCAA